GCTCCTACGTCAGCACAAAGGCATGTTTGACTGGGCTGCTGCCAGTGTGAGGCGTCGATGGAACAGCAGTGCTGGGAGAAATCTAAGATCCTGCCGCACGTTACACCAAGGGCTATTGTTTCCTCCCCCCCCTCCTCTCTCTCTCTCTTTTGTGATCCCTTCTTCTCCTCCTCGGCCGCTCATTCGTCTTCTTCCCGCCGTTCGTGGCGGTGACGCACGCCCGGCACCGCCGCTCACCAACGTGAAATCAGATTTGCATTATCCCGGCAGACCCAGCTGCCGTCAGTCCTCGGTTGCGGCGTTCGGTGCCTGTCTGTGTGTTCGACCGCTCAGCGGAGACACTTGCCAAGAAGCTATCAAATCTAAAACACCACAGGCTTGTTTTGTTTTGGGGGTTTTCTTTTTTTTGTGTGTGTGTGTGTGTGTGTGTGTTGCCTGTAATAAATTCCCAAGACATGCAAGTCACCCTGCGTCAAAACCTTTTAGGATGACCCTCCAGCGGAGAGCTTCGCCCTCTGACCTCTTGACTCGATTCCCTCTTTACGGCCAGTCGCGCGGTCACCCGTCAGTTTTGCGACTGTGCGAAACACACCAAGCTAATAGAATGATGCACATCTGGTTCTAATAGCTTTGCAAGAATACAACATTGGAAAAGGGTGGAAAGAGGGAGGGTAGGAGGTTTAGTAGCCATTGAGGCAGTTTAGAAGAATGAGCCGTGTGTGTAAAGTGGTGTTCGGTGAATGCAGAGAAAACATTTAGCGCAGCCCTGTTTGGAATGTATTAGTGCAGCACTACTACTACTACTACTACTGGCAAGGGACTGGAGAGCATTGCAGAGGTCTGTCTAAAGCGAGCATCAGGTGTTACACCGGGGAAATACTGTCTAACACTCTATTTGCTTGTGTGGACTTCAGGGAAGGGAAGTTTGGTTTTGAGATATGCTGCTAACTAATACGTATAGAGAAAAAAGACCAAAAAAGTTACTTAATCATGAGAAATGTATTTAAAGTTATTTTATGAAGTAAAATATAAAATAAATGAAAAAAATTTGCTGTCATTAAGACCTCAAAATCAACAAATCAGCACGTGTAGTAAGAGTTAAGTAAAGTCAAAGTAAATGTAGTAGGATAAGATAATGATCCCCAGAATGGAAAATCAGGAGTTGCAGAACAATAAGTATAGATACATAGAGAAAAGTAAAAAACAAGTAGTAAATTAATTAAGTATAAAAAAACAGAACGAGTAAGAATTAAAGAAGAAGAAGAAGAAAACTATACAAGCTTGAAAACTCAAAATATGCTCCACCAGTTCCACCAGAACTTAAAAGTTGCACAACGAGCTTACACAATTGGAGCTCGAAGTTCACATGCAGGCGCACACACACACACACACACACACACACACACACACACACACACACACAGTGTACAGTAAAGTAGACGTCCAAACTCAACAAGAGAGTGATTGTGCCTATACCACTTGGTGGTAAAGTGATAACAGAGTTACTTAAACTCCTTCGCTAAAGACTGAAAAAGTTGCATTCTCTAGCGATTAGAAAACACACTAAGTTGTGGTTCTTCTGCTTTCAGCGAAAATACTCTAACAAGCTGAGCACACCTGTAAAAACAACTGACAGAATACAGTTATTATTTTTCTTTAAATATATAAGACATCTGTGTAGATGACGTTAGAGTGAAAAAAGTCGGTTTCCCCCCCCCCCCCCGTCCTGCACAGGCAGAAGAATGCTGTTGTGTGCTTCTTCCTCTGAAGTTTGAGCTCATATCCATATGTGACTCCATTTGGTTCTGTTGAAGTGCACAATGCAACAGTGAAAACGTTGCCATTGTTGTTGCAATCCTCACTGTTCTCTGCTATGATCAAATATCATATATCTGTTGTGGTGTGTATGTTTGCGGAATGCTCAAGCAGGAAGTACAAATCCATAAACTGCCCTTTTTATTTTAACAAAGGGTTAGAAGTCTGTTGATGAAGACCATGTGATACGGTCGAAAAAGGTCCGGAATCAGCGGATCTTGAGTGTAGATTGTGTCAACTGCGTTTCCAAAAGTCAAAAACGAACAGCCAACCTCAAGTTTCGATGCAGTTTATTTTGAAAATAATCATTAAAATTTTATTTTTCTAAAGCTTTATACCATTTCTTAATGACATATCCGCTGTCAGCTGTAAAATATATGTTGTTAGACGTATTTTTATTATAAAACACGTGTGTTATGCAAATGTTACGTTTTGGATTCTTATCTTCAGCATTGGCTTCTGAGTCCTGTATCAGACTGGCACATCATTTTTTTTGCACATCCTACCTTCAGCATCAACCTCAGATTCCTCACTTCCCGACCAAAAGCCATTGTCTGTGTTTTCCGATGAGTCTTCCTGAGTTACATCACAGTCACGGACCCCCCCCCCCCCCCCCCAATCCCTCGGAGTAGAGGAAGGTATTTCAAACAATCAGCGGATTCCTAGTGAGGTCATTGTTTTAGTGAAGGAGGGGAGGGCCCTGGGATGACCCTCCTGGCAGGACGTTGTTTTCCATCAGAATTCCTCCCGAGATGGATTCATTTGCACATCACAGAAAAACAAGACGCTCCCATTGTGCCTGTGTGGCGCGTTAACATGGAGCTCTGACTTCTGTGGCTGAAGAACGCAGTATAAATAGAAAATAATAGGCTCGCTTTTCTAAAGGGTCGGAGTAAACAAATCGGGGGGGGGGACTATTGATCACTATGGTACTCCATGTGATCTCTTGTTTGCTTTGTGAGCTCACATAGACAGACAGACAAATAGTCACAGATGACAATGAGGAATGCTCGTGGTTCATGCATTAGTTCATTGTCGCTGCACGGTTGCGAACCTGACAATAACATAAGATCATGAACTCTACGGCACAACATCCATTTTTAAAGGGACCGTTCACTCGTGCTACAACAAAATGTCACTAATTAACGTGAACCCTGTAAATCGCACAAACTACAGGAGGAAATTCTTTCCACTCAGCAGTATCACACACTCAGCCAACTATTTGTCTTCTAGAAAAGAAAATACCACTGTGTATTATTTTGATCTTAGAAACAAAAGAATAGATTGTATGGACCTTCTCTTCAAAAAGACCAACGAAGTCGTCTTCCTCTAAACCAGTGGTTCTCAAACTTTTTCTGTCGCGCCCCACTTTGGAGGAAGAAAAATGTTCATGCGCCACCGCTCCAACAAAATTGTAACAAAATGGTCTATGTTGAACTTTTATTGAAATAACATTTTGTGACTCCTCCAAAAAATAACTAATATTTGGCAAAAAATAGCTTATTGTGAATATCTTTCCAAGATATTCACAATAAACTGCAACCTGTGAAAATCAAAACAAAATGAGTGCAGATATGTGTCACACATATCAGGAGCATTTTATTTTAAATATGAGCTTTAAAATGTAGCATTCTAAAAGTAAAATAATAGCTGTGATAATAACTGATAATAATAATAGCTGCACGTGGGACTGTTGGGACTGTTAGTACACTGGCTGTGGTCATCACAGTGAACAGTGTCTGGCAGTGTGATGAGAGGACATGTGAGCCCTTGTTGCTGTACTTTATCTCCTTGGAGCAGAGGCTGCATTTAGCATACCCTGCCGTATTTAAAATGCTGTGACAGCGGGACGCTGTACTCACGTCTGTTTAGACCTCAACCTTTATCCAGGCCCAGCTGCACTCACAGCTCAGCCCTGCGTCAAGCTGCGCTACACAACCAGCCTCCTCCCCCCGAAGCTCTTTGACCTCATCATCTCATCCTCATTCTACTTTGAGTTAAAACAAACAACCTGCAACCATATGCGCCGGTGTTCAGGTTTAACGTTAACGAGTGACCGCGTGAACTGAACCGGAACACGGGGGGGCTGCATGTTTCATCACGTTACGTTTTTTCCTCCTAAATCGTGATAATGACGAACGTTAACAGTCGATAAAGTTTTGCATGCAGTGGATGTTAACTCAACCCAGCAAGTCTGAACGGTAACGGAACATAACGTAACTTAAACTTTAACGGAGGGAAATAAAGACGCTGTCGACATCTGAACGCTGATTGGCCAAGACTCGACACGTCAAAGATGTTCTATTGCGAAGATCACGACATCACCTTTTCTCCTCGTCTCACTCCAATCTGAGAAACACTGGCTGGCCAGTTGACCCCCCCCCCCCCCCAAAAAAAAGCTCTACGGATCTACAGGATGATATATTTTGATTCAAAATGGCGAATTTACATAACAAACACTTATTTTAACCCAACCAAGATCTTTTACTAAACCTAACCACGTACATTTGGAAGCTAAACCTAACCAAGTACTTAAGTTACCTTGACCTAACCAAGTACCTTTGTTACATAAACCTAACCAGGTACATTTGTAAGCTAAACCTAACTAAGTACTTTTGTTACCTTAACCTAACCAAGTAATTTTGTTATCTAAATCTAACCAAGTACTTTTGTTATCTAAATCTAACCAAGTACTTTTGTTTTCTAAACCTAACCAAGTACTTTTGTAACCTATACCTAACCACAGACGCGGTTGAAAAATGCTTGAAAAAGCACATTATAATATTGTGTAACGCTCATCACCGTAGTTGCTTTGAATTAAGAATCATCCAGAAACAGTGTTCATATTATCATGACTCTGCATGGCTTGAGAGGTCTATTAGATTTGTGTCTTGTTTTTGGGTGGAGGGTGGACCCCCCTCTTAACGACTTAATGTGTTTTGAGACGGTTTACAGTAAACCCAATCATATCTCCTTCTCTGGCGTTGTCAAGGCAATGGAGTGTAAAACAACAAAGCGTGTGCAGTGTGTGGTTTGGTGAAACAGTGCAGCTGTAGAGGAGCTCGTCTGAGGGAGGAGAAGAGGGTTGGAAGGGGGGGACATCCTGTGAGACCAGCACAGGTGGTTGGGAGGGGGGTTGGCGTAGTGGTGGGAGGGGAGAGGCGAGGGGGGGGGGGGGGGGGGGGGGGGGTTGTGGGCGTGGACGTGCAATAATGTGCCCACTTCCTGTACCGAGCCCCTGTGCTGTACTGTAAAACAGTAAGCTTACAACGAGATCAGCAGGATTTGCCGGCGGTGGCTTCCTGCCATTTCACAGCAGGCAGTCATAGGTGGAGATCCTGTCTGTGCACTCTAGTGTCCCACTGTGCCTCGTACTTTTCCTAATGATGGTGTTTTTTTTCTTCTTTAATGGCTGAGGACAAGGGGCAAGAAAGGGGAACATTAATTCTGAGAAGAAAAAAAAAGCAGTGAAATGAAAGCATTAAAAACCGAGAGCATGACGTTTACCCCGATGGGTTTTCCATTCGTTGCACACTCACAGATGTGGAATGGAAAACATGAAAGTCTTATGTGTTGGGTCGAGTCCACGTACACAGCCGTTCCTGTGGGGGAGCGATGTGTGCGCGGATACTTGACAGCCAGCTTAAAGCTGATTTCATCCTGTAATTTCAAGTGAATGAGCGCGTAAAATGGTAACGATGGCAAGTCCTCTCGGGGCACGCTCACACCAGGCGTGTTTGAGGCAGTTCGGTCATACTTTGAGTCACGTAATATAGATTAAAGGGCGGTAAAGGCCTGGGGTCGATGGAGGGGACAAACACACTTAGGACTTTCGCCCAGGAGGCCGTAGTTTGTGTCCCGCGTCAAACAAAAAAATGTTGTTACGCAATTTGCACACTTAACTAACGCCGTGTTTCAGATGTTACATTGCTTGAACCTGAAGTTGTTTTGTTTCACCTCACAACATTAAGATTCACTTTCACAACGTAGTAGTTGCATGTTGGCCCGTCTGAATACGGAAAGTATAATTCGCACCAAAGGTTTCACAACAAAAAAAGCTAAATGTTGACATGTATTATTATGTGCTACAGAATTAGCCCAGAATGTTATACTCCTAGAGAGACTAACTGAGTAATTAAGTAAGAAAAAGACTAAAAATGTCGCTCTCTAGCTCCACCTCCAACCTATTTTCATTTTCCAAAAATCTACGCTGGCGTCCCGACAACTTTGACAACTTTGACAACTTTGACATTTCCTTTTTCCCTCCAGTCTACAAATCAGATAAACGAATCATTCTAGCTGAGGAAATGATTTTATAAAAATGAAGTTATTTATTCATAACTATCATAAATTTCTCAAGAGACTTGCTCATTTTGCGGACGGAGAAATCACAACGGCCCTAGAAAAAAAACCACACCCCCTCGCACTATGTATCAAAATCTAATTTTCCAGCTCCATCTGCCAGAGTGCGCTCGCTCGCTCGCTCGTTAGGAAGAGGTGTTAGAATGTAATCCCGAGTAACGAGAGGAAGTGACCCCGGAGCACAACGTTTTATGGGCGTAAGAAGACGGATGTTGATGTCTGATAGCCAGCAGTTACTGATTCTCCCAACAGTCTCAAGTAATAAAAGGTGGTTTTAACGGTGTGACATTCACAATAGGTAAAATAAACATGCGGTCATTGTGAGCCCTGGCGAGTTTGCAGTGGGGCAGTGTGAACCCTATTGACACGCATCGGCTCCGCAGTGAGGCAGCTGACTGTTGTTGTGTACCTGCAGCGGTCACATGCGCTCCACCGGCCAGGCCAGTGTCATGAGGGACAAGTTGCAGGTGTTGGACGGTCCGCCATTGACACAAGATCTGTGTCAGCCAAGCATGTCAAAACAAGCCTGCCTCTGACTTTTAAACCCGTTACTCCTATGTTTGATTTTAAAGGTTTAAATAAGAATATTTTTCCGTCCTCTGTTTCCAGGAAATTAGATTAGAGTCTAAGTGGTTCGACTCCACATGAGAAGTTGTCTCAGTCTAGATTGGTCCCTTGCAGTCAGGCACTTTTGAAGCAGTGGTACCCACTTATCACCTTCCATTGTTTGTGTGTGTGTGTGTGTATGTGTGTGTGTGTGTGTGTGTGTGTGTGTGTGTGTGTGTTTGTTTGACTCTCTACTCACTTGACGGGTACTTGTTCGCATTTGCTCTCTATTTTGTGGCTTTGACATGTGTAAACTGCTTTTCCCACAGTTGAACGGACATGATCGACTGCGATATTAACGTTTAAGTTGCGGGCTTTGCTCATAGAAAACATAACGAATCAAGCGGTGCCTAAATGAACAGCCAGCCACCAGGGGGGCTATACAGATGTCTCGGCTTCACTTCCGTTTGCTACTAGGAGATGCACTGTGAACAAGGTTTGATACTCTGTACTACGGGCACATCGTGGTCTGTACTAATAAAGTCTTTCTATTTTAAGGCGCAGTGTGTAGGATTTGGCGACATCCAGCGGGGGAGGTTGCAGATTGCAACCGGCTGAAACTTCCCCTGTGTGCCAAGCGCGTAGGAAAACCACGATGGGCGACGCGAAAAACGTTAAAAAACGTGAATGGTCCTATCTAGCTAGTGTTTGGTTTGTCCGTTCTGGGCTACTGTAGCAACATGGCGGCCGGCTCCGTGAAGAGGACCCACAATGTATGTAGACATAAGCGTCTCGTTCTAAGCTCACAAAAATGCAACAATTCCGATTTTTAGGTGGCTATACAAAACAGAAACCACTTATTAATAGATCCCCCTAAATGCCACACACTGTCCCTTTAAGACAACACAGAATCATCAGCGGGAGCTTTGTGTTTAAAGTTCAGTTACAGAGGCGTTCCCGTAAAAGACAGAGAGGAGGAAAGATGGAGAAACAAAGGCAGACGCAGGGAGAGTTGGTGAGAGCGGGGATCAGTAGTCATGGCTACATGAAAGGTTGCAGGAGCCGGCCATTTAGATGGATTACAGTAGCGCAGCTTCCCTTTTCATCTCACTCAGAGGGTTGTATCTGGAAGGGGGGGGGGGGGGGGGGAAGCAAATTGGTTCCCATCATGCTTAGCAAGTGCTGCTCGGTCTCCCTCTGATGGCTGTTTCCACAGTGTGTACGAGAGGAACGTTTACGCTGAGCTTGAAGCCAGCTCTCACAGTCTATCTCATCCTCCTCCGAGAGCGACAAGAACCACAAACAGGCTCATCCGTGGCACTACGCTCGGCAGCTTTCTCCAGACATCGCGATATCTGTGTCGCAAATGCGCAGCTGTTCAGTGGACACCAAATAAGACGAGAACGGGGCAAAATAAAGAGATTTCACGACTGATTAGAAAATGAAAGTGAACCACAGTGCTGTTTGCTCTCACTGCAGTCTAGACTCAAACTTAATCATGTCAGACAGTCGGCAGTAATTCCACTTGTGTCATTGTTTCATGAACTACTGTTGGAATAAGACACGATGAGGCAGACATCTACGCTAATACCAAATGAATCGGATTCAGTGTTGGGTTGATTTGTACCAGTAACAGAATACATTTCCTCAGCGGCACACATGGCAGTCGAGATAAGCAGTTGGAAGACAGCAATTTTCAATTTTTGGGAATTGTTAAAAAACAGTGTTAGTCAGTTATCATGATAGCTTTATTGACCGGTGAAGACCACGAGATGTGGTTGAAAGCTCTGGAAAAGTGGACCTTAAGTTGACATTTTTCTTGTCAAACAACAAAACAAATGAGCACTCAATTGACGTATTAAATCAAAAAGAGATTAAAATAATTAGGTGCAGCCACAGATGTTTGGGTATTTCTTTTCTAAAATCAAATTTTCTTATAATTTTACAAAATAATTTGAATAAAAAAATACAGTTCAATAAATACAATCAAAATATATTAACATTTTTATTTTTATTTACAAAAAGAAATGATAAGAAAATAAGTTTATGGATTCAAAATACATTTGTGGCTGCAGCTAATTCTTTTTTTTAAATCACTGATTAATCTATCTTTTTCTTTTCAATTAGTTCTTTAGTTGAGTGTTAATTGTTGAACCTGGAAGTGGTACTTTGACATGAAAAATCTCTCTTTACGTCCACTTACTAGCTTTTTCAAGAGCATTTCAAATGCATCTCATGGTCTTCATTGGTAAATAATTAAAGTTTTCATGACAGCTGTGCTAACTCTATCCACTGATGAAGACGGTGAGATGCAATTGTAAGATTAAAGATTAGGTCCACATGTGAAAAAAAGTTGTTGATGTCTGAGTTTAAATCAGAAATCTGAGAATGAACTCAGTTTAATCTAATTTTGTTATTTTATATAAAAATAAAAGTTTAAAGAATTAACATTTAAAACTCTTTGTTACTGAGGAGATTTGGAAAAGGGGGGAAAAATATGTTTTTGGAATTGAAAGGTTTGTGTGTAATGTGAAAAGTCTGGTAATGGATCACAAATACGGTAGCCCCTATTTATGAGGTTGCACTACAAAAACATTTAAAAAGAAAGATTTAATGAAATTCAAATGTATTAATTACAAACAAATTAAATTAAACAGAACAAACAAAAGCATGTCCCTTGTTTAGAAGCAAATTAACTTAAAGGATTCTGGAACAGCAACACTAAAATCAAATACCATTTATTTTTAACAAGCATTTTAATCTTCCCTATTTTTCATATCCGTCTTGATTCTAGAAAATTCCTGAAACAATCAAACTGAAAGCTATATTTTACAGGTGTTTAACAAATTAATTACAAATATTTATGTTATATATTATTAAAATAAATAACTAATTATAGCGTAATGCTTCTCTGACAAAAGTTTTCACTTCTAGTCGCAAAATCGGTGTTTGGAATCTTGACATTTAAAAGCATGTGGTGAGTGCATGGGTAATTGTGGATGATAAGGACGGTCTGTTTTCACGCTGCAGGGACGCCCCCCCCCCCCCCCCCACCCGCCTGCCAGTCATGTACCTGCGTCTTTCTGACTGATGGTGATGTAGATGTGTCTGTGTGACCGTATACGCATGCCCCCTGGATAAATGATCACCAATCGCCATCGGAAGATGAAGGACAAGTCTGTAAGTAACGCTGTGTGCACTCAAACTTCTGTTCATTGTATGTCAAGACGTTGTTGTCTGTTGGCAGGAAATCTGTTTCTTTTTATTTTTTCCTGTTGCGGTTAGACAGCGTGAAGCCGAGGCAAACATTCGTGACACACGCAGACAAACAGAAATTCAATCTGACTGCTTCATGATCTTTATTTATTCAAAATGTCATTCCCAACAGCAACGAAATGCATTTATTTATATCGCTGTAAAATAATGCCATGCGTTCCTTTCTGTTTCGAAGTATCAAAAAAAAAAAAGAAGATTTTATGAATCAAAATCTTTCCAATAAAATGGATGATTCTGAAGTTCTTGAAGACAGATAATACCGCTGTGCGCTCGCAGACAACAAGCGACAACCACAATGTTCCAAACTGATAAATAGTGTGTGCGTTTCCATTTATAACTAACTGTTGCAAAGGAAATAAAGCTTCCTTCTCTGACTTCCTTTGCAGGTGCTAGAATAGCAGCTGTCGTAGACTTAATATTCAATGATAATTGAGCCAACTGCGTCTTTTTCGTTCTCTCCCGTGCTCGTGTAAATCTTCAAACAAACCTCGTCATCACCGTTAAAACTCGTAAAGAATAAATGAAGGAAATGTACATTTTGAACCCTCTAATAATAGATCCCTGGCAAGATATCCCATTCAATATGTGCTTGTTAAAAGGGAAACTATAACTCTTAAGGTGACACGCTGCCCACAGATCTCTTTATGGCAGCTCTCGTGTGTATATTAAGTCAGAACTCTTATCCCGGCTTTTCTCAAGTCTTCTCTCGAAACACAAAGGCGTTCTTTGTCCTGGAGCTGTTAGTCTCATAGCCTAGAAGTTTGTGACTTAGCGTATATATCGCGGGGTTAAAGCTGCTGTAGTAAAGAGTACAAGTTGTCAGAGTACTTAGCACAGACCACATGGAGTGCTGGCATCTGTGTGGCGCGCCCTAAGACCAGCTCAACGTGGAGACTTTACTTTCTGGCAGCTGCGGCGTGCTGATCAGGCCTTTGAGACGTGTACCTCCAACTGTAAAGTGCATGTATTTGAAATCATAATTCACTTTTACTGAGAAATCAAGTAGATATGTGTCAATTCCATCTCCTTAGTGTTTGTTTTTTTCTTATTGTAATTCTCAAAAGGAAGTCATTTGAGGACAGCTCCCCTTATACTAGTGTTCTTCAGTTGGCTTCATAGTCTGTACAAAAGAAGTGGACGTAGTCGTTGTGACGTCACCCATTAGTTTGTGGACTCCGTTTTTGAAGCCTTGAGTTTGGCATTTTGGCCTTCGCCATCTTGGATTTTTTTTCCCGCCGTCGCTATATTGGCTTTTGGCTGCAGCCATCTTGTTTTTTGGGAACCAGAAGTGACACAAAAGGGTGGGGCTTAGTTCAACCGCCTGCTGAAACAGACATTTTAAGCGTGTTTAACGTTATGAACGGAAAACAAACTGTGAAAGGGTCAAAGTTCCAAGACAAAAACATGAACCACACAACGCCGTGGTAGCAACCTGTCAATCACAAACTACCCCCGCCCTAAAGCATACCCTGCTTTATTGTCTACTTTACTCTAAATGGACCATAATTTACTAAATGAACGACATGCTGTATTGAAGGAGACTTGAAACTACAGATTGAGACCATAAAGTCATGTTTACAATGTTTACTGATGTAATAAATGAAGAGAGGTTAGGGTCATTTCCTCATAGACTTCTATACAATCAGACTTCTTTTTGCAACCGGAGGAGTCGCCCCCTGATGGCCATTAGAGAGAATGCAAATTTAAGGCACTTGCGCATTGGCCTCCCTTAACAGACCGGGAGGTTGCTGCCTGGTTGCCTTGAACATTTGGTGCCGACTGATGATATCGGTACTGCAATTTGATTTGTGCAATATCTGTGTTTGTCCCCATTACTGCTCACTCCATAACATACAGAGTGCCGAGGTCACCTATTGGAACATCTTTGCAAGGTTGCATAAACATTGGAATGCGGTCTCATTAAGCGGTTTCATATTTCTTAACTCTTCTACCTAGGGGTGTAAGAAATGTCCGAAAAAGGAAGCTAAAATCCTGAATGACTTCCTGCTTCCTGTTACTCAAACAATGTTTGGCAAAAAATTGAGAAAATGGAGCAAAACTGGAGGAGACGCATGTGCCAAAAAAAACAAATATACCAAAAAATGATAAGTATCCAAAGGGGTTCTTCTGTCTCCAAACTGCATTCAAGACACAAATCCCCTCATTTTTGTTGTGCAAAGGGATTCCATAGTCTCGAAGTACACTTAAGAATAAATCCTCATTAATTTAAGGATATTTCCTCAAGCATTAACTTGAATTTCTGCAAGTCCCCTTTTTGTTTTAATCACCAGGAAAATATTCTTTTCAAATGCTTTATGCACCTGAGAAATATGTGACCAGTTGTGTTTGTTCAACATCTTGAAAAGAGGCTCTGTGAACTGCCGGCTCTCTGATCCAGGCTAAGCGTATTTGGCGGCATGTGTTTTTCACAGAGCGTACAACCCTCACATGGCCCATATCTGGACGCTTTAAGCGCCGCCGCTTGTTGCCGGGGGTTTGTGCGAGGCCTCTCTGAGCCTGTCCGCCTGTCTGCTTCCCATGATGCACCTCCCCATCTCCAGCCTGGCGACGGCAGTGAAAGAGGCCATTGTTCCTGTCACTCCGAGGCATGTTGCATGCACTTCTGACACGGAGTGGGAGAAATGATTCCCTTTTATGCCCCCGGAATGTCTTGTGAATCAATCATTTCTGTATGAAGAAACGCTGCTCTTTCCTGTCATTTGGCCACAAATGCGCTCGTGTTTGAGGGAAAGGGAAAGTATTGCATAGTAAGGAATTTGGGGGGGGGGGGGGCAAAAAAATAAAGACAATATTACAACACCTCGTTTTATGCTAATTTCCTTCCTCATTCAGGCATTTTTTTCCATTTTTAGCTCTGACCTTGAGCGAAAGACCACCTCCGGAGCCCGATTCAGACGTCTGATCCTCTGATTGAATCGAGCGGCCCGTTAACACTTTGCAAGAAAACAAGTGGCTTTCAGGAACTCCCCTGCCTCCCAGTGCCCCCTCTTCTCTCACCGGGCTCTGATTGATGCGCAGCAAACCACAGTCGGAAAAGCTCGCGGCTCTTCTCGTGGATTTTTCCTGCATGGCACAATGTTACGACGATCCTCTATGCGCTGCGCCATGTGCAGTGGCATCAAAACAATACAAATGTAAAAAAGGTGGTCTCCTCGGGCAGATTATTCATGCCTCACATACCATGAGGGCCTTTGAATCCCACCCCCACCACCACCAAACAGGACGTTCTTTGCTTTGACATGCGTGAGAATGTCTGATTCTCTCTGTTCTCTAGTTCCAGGCCACATCAAATCCTTATAAAAGCGAGGCTTTCTGATCCTACATCTGAATCTTTAAGTGCCATGAATATAAAAAATGGCTACCCTTGTTGTGTTTTTTTCCGATCCAGAGCCGTAGGAGTCCTACACAGATCTCTACTCGGGGTGTAAACCAAGAGCGCTACGCACAAGTCACCAAACACTGCCCTATCCGTCAGCGGCGAGTCTATTTTTAACCCTGCTGTATCACGTATCGCCTCTCGCAATTTTCTTCCTTTGTTCAGGCGAGGAGGGATATTTCAGGACACTCTCTGGTGGCGTGGGAGGCGAGGTGAGGCCAGACCCCTCCCCCCTGACAATTGATCTTCCCCTCCGCTTGGTGTGTGCGTGTGCGCGAAGGGAGGTGAAGCCCACGCCTGCCACTGACCTGTTGCAAGGGGTTGAGAATGTGCTCTCCCCATTCATTAGGCCTGGCGGCCCGCGCTGCCACCAAGCGCTTTCACTACATCTGCGTTTGCGGTCTGGGATCGAATCCAGATGGCCGTCTGGAACACCCGTGCAGACCGCGTACGAGCTTCCCATATGGCAAACGGGAAAGGAATATTTAAAGGAGCCTCATAACCCCGAGTTGGTGAGGTGAAAAGCCAGCCGTCATAGGCGGGGACTTGATGCGCTGGATCGGGACAACATCCCACACTTCGAGATAGTCTCTCCTCAAAGGCATTCATGGTTACCCCCCCCAAAATAAGAGAGAGCTTGGGAAAGCAGGGTGGGGAAAAGGGGCATCAGACGTTGTTTCGTTTTGGCTTCGTGTAGCTCAATCAAATTGCAACAGAAATGTTGCATACATGCTGCTGGAATCAGTGGAACTGACTCATCGCTAACAGTATCCAGTAACTCAGTTCCTATGAAAAATGCTCTCCTCACAACTTTCTCACAGTCATCAAATTCAGACGAGTGTTCCAAGTATAGTAAAGCAGTGATTGTTTTTCTATTGTTCCCATGGTCACAGAACTGACAATGACACGTCAGAACACACAGGCAGAAAACTTCCTCAAAAAGTGTTTTAGAACATGTGTGCAGGACCACCCACACACTGATGGTATTTGTGGGTAAATAACAATATGTAACGTGTAGTGACTGCATTATAAGCCTATGAACGAAGAGAATGAAAACCTGGCAAAAGCAACCGAAGGCTCGAGGGGTTGAAGGGTGATGAAAGAGCGTCAAAAGTTGTCGAATAATATTCCATAGAAACTTTATTTAGAAAGCACCAGTTGTTGAGTTTAGAGTTCCAGTCAGTGATCAGGACAGGACTTAATCTCCTGGAGGGAAAAGCCCACAGACTCGTCTGCTGCTGTATTTGTTTGGGTTGGGTTGTGACCATTTTATCCAGTCTGCTGCCGCTGCTCTGTTTTGCTCCATAATTTTTTTTTTCTTTTGCTGCTGCTATGAATGTGGCGGGGGAATGTGCGTAGGGCGGGGTGACAGAGGAGGGGTGGGGGGCAGGAATTCCTCACTCACTTGGCTCATCTTGCATTTGCTCTACTCCTTCGCCTGCACATGGAAAAACAAAATGTTTTGTTTGTGCGCTCTCCTGACGGGGTCGTGAGCGCATCCCTGTTT